CTCCTCTCCTATTAGGGTTTGAAATGGCTACCCAGTGGTATGGGATAATGTTCTTGTACACTGTAAAAATTTGTTACTATTTATTAGCTTAATAAAAAACTTATTGGCAGCAAGGAGACTAAGAGAATTCTAGGAAGAGGAAAGGCAGAGTCAGTCATAAGTCAGACACAGAAGAAGCAAGATGAGAATGCCTTACTGAGGAAAAGATGCCAAGCCACATGGCTAAGCATAGACAGAACTATGGGTTAATTTAAGTGGCAAGAACTAGTTAACAGTAAGCCTTAGCTAATAGGTCAAACAGTTTATAAATAATATAAAGCTCTGTATGCTTCTTTGGGACTGAACAGCTCCAGGGTTGGGCAGGACAGAAACTTCCATTTACAACCCACAATGAGGAATAGGGTCCCAAAAGCCAGCAATAGAGCCAGAGACAGCCCCTCTTCCCACTGTTAGGAGTCTTACCAGAGGACCAAGCTACACAACTGTAACATATAAGGAGAGTATATTCCTAGGCCAGTCCCATGTAGACTTTCTGGTTGTTCATTCAGTCTCTGTGAGCTCCTCTGAGCCCCTGTTAGCTGTTTCTGTGGGTTTTCTTGTTTCCCCTTCTGTTTCCTACAATTCTGTATCACCCTCTTTGGCAGAATTCCCTGAGCTCTGTTTAATGTTTAGCTGTGGGTCTGCATCTGTTTCCATCAGTTGGTGGATGAACCCTCTCTGTTGAGATTTGGGATAGGCACCATCTATGTGTATAAATAACATCAGACATCATTGTCTTTTTTGTCCTTCATTTGTGTTTGGTTCTATCCTAGGTTTCTGGGTCATCCAGCCTGTGGGACCTGGCTCTCCTGGCAGTGTTTGTGAGAGGCTTAGTCTGCTGGCATGTTTTTCAGGCTAATCTCGCCATTGGCCACTTCCTCAGCCTCTAGGCTATCCTTACCCCAGCATATCCCATAGGCAGTACAGACTGTAGGTTGAAGGCTTTGTAGCTGGGTTGTTTTCCCACTTCCTTCGCTTGAAATCTTGCTGGTCACAGGAGATGACCAGTTCTGGCTATGTATCCACTATTATTAGGAGTTTTAGCTGGCGTCATACTTATAGCTTTCTGGGAGAGTTCCTTGAACCAGGTTTTTATATGATCCCCAAATACCCGCCCCCCTTTTCCAGCAGCCTCTTTCAGTACTCTCCCTCTCTGTGACCCCGGGGCCTGATTACTCATGTTCCCTTCTGTACCTGCCCATAGTCCACCCAGGAGATCTCTTCTGTTTCCCATTCTCAGGGAGAGGACTTTTTTTTAACCTTACATTATTTTCTTATATATTATGGCTTCGAATTCTGTTTTTATGTGATTGCAAATGTATGTGTGTGTATCTCAGTATGTGTTTCTTCTGCTTTTTCTTTAGCTCTTTTTTGTCTTTGCTGTTTCTTTTGTCCTATTTTTGTTTGTTTCTGTTATTTTCTTCCATTATTTTTAGATCCCTGTTCGTATCCTGTTGAGAAGGGGAGAAAGAAAGATGGATATTTGGGTGGTGTGGATATGGAAAGGATCTGGGGGGTAGGGACAATTTTATTGGTCTGTCTGTATCCTAATAAGAGAAAGAAAGGGTGTAGATTTAGGTGGGTCGGGATGTGAGGAGGACCTGGGAGGAGTTGGAGGAAGGGAACCATAATTAAAATATATTGTATAAAAACCTATTCTCAATAAAAAGAGATGCAAATCAGTAGTTACAATGTAAATTTCATCAGGAATTTTATAACCGTGGAAGAACAGATCCACAGTAATTAAATTTATAATTTAAAATAAAAGGCTAACTTAAGAAGCTCTTTTATAAATCAAGTGGCAATTTAGTTCTACATACAGTGATATCTGTAAGAAGAGTGACATTGTTTCTGGCAAGAGAGGTAAGGTTGAAGTCTCTATATTGTTTAAATTCCTTCTCCGCTGCTATTTATTAAACGGCAAGGAAACTGCCCCCTTTTTGCTCTGCTTCTGCATTTGTTGATTGACACTATAGTGGATCCATGGATTTATACAGGTGTCTATACAACTGCTATATAATGGAAGAGTTATACAGGGAATATACCTACATGATACATAAAACACCATCTATACCAGTACTGCCATTGGTTCTGACCATAAGAGTAAAGAATAAAGAGAAAGTTCTTCAATAAGTAAAATCAAAAGTGTTTTGAAGGAGTGCTGTGTAGAAGAATATGAATGAGTCAGAGAAAAGGAAACCTTCAAACTATTTCTAGAGTTTAGTTTGGATATCTGCCCAATGGCTTTATCTAGATCTGTCTGACATGCTCTGATACGAAACATCATGCTTTTGAAAGAGCAGGTGCGGTGCCTCACTTGGAGGAAGTCCCTAGTGAGTACGCACTTCCTGTAGTGATGAAACAGTTGGGGAATACACCTTCTTCATCAGAGGGAGTCACCTATGTCTCCGAGTTTGATTACTGAGAGTGATAACATGCCAATTATTTAGCCTCCTGCAGGCAGGAAAAAAATATGGGAACTGGCTACCATCTTTCCTCTGCTTCTGTTTTTCTTTTTTCTTCTTTCTCTTCTGCTCTTTGCTCTTTCTTGCTTCCTTTTATAGAACTTCAATTTAGTCTTCATTAATAAATTTGTATACTACGGTTAACTCCCTATTCAAAACACACAAATACCAAACAATACAAAACGAAACACCTTTATGTCAACTCCTTTTACCATCAGTCTAATATCTTTGGGCTGATGATCCTGTTCCACCAAGCTTTGTATGTGTTTATTTCTGTCTTATGGGTGAACAATGTTTCTGCAGAGGAATAAATTTAATTCATTTATCGATTAATATGAATTTTGAGTACAAGTTTCCATGACTTCATCTTGTGCATCTGACTTAGAGATATGTGGACCAAAGTATTTAATAGTGTTAAACAGAATAACCTTCTCAGGTATTTCCCAACCATGTCTCATTTTAGTTACAAAATAGTTATCCTCTATGCACATGAGTTCTGTACCCACCAATTCAGTCACTTCCCATTGAGTTTGTTATAGGTGGACATTTGTTGGTATATGTGTATTGTTCACACACTGTCTTTCTTTCCTGCTATTAAATTTTCTAAGCAATACAATGTTCCAAATATTTATATACTATTTAAACTTTATTAATTTTTTATATGCACTATAGATATATTTAAAGTTTACCAGAAGGATGTGTTTAAGTTATGCACAAATACTTTCCATTTTATTTAAGATGAATTAAGCGATTTTGGATTTTGATATCCATATATGTCCTGGGACCTCTCCTCAGTAGGTAGTGGGAGATGATTGCAGTAGATGAATTCAAATATCCATGAGAGATATTTCTGATCTATCATCTTACAGTTTTGCATTTATCTATTTATGGGCGGTGGGCATGACTCACATGCTACAATATACATGTGGAGGTCAGATGATAAATCACAGGAATTGGATCTCTTCTACCTTGTGAGGTCTAGAAATTGAACTCTGGTCATCAGATTTGGTGGCAAGCATCCTAACTACTGAACCCTCTCACTGGTGGCCATTCATCCTACCTTTTAATTTGTATAATTCAATTTAAAGATTTTCAATATAATTGTATTATTATGGGAATAATGTGTGTTTATTTCAAGACAAATGTAATATATGAAGAAAGTAGAGTCAACTGATTGTATTATATCCATTATCATTTTTATATAATTCCTTTTCAGTATGGTTAAAAATTTCACATTTGATCCAATTTAGCTGAAGTGGTGCATGCAGTTTTAAATCCAAAGGTTTTAACTTTTCAGCACTGAACATTATTCTCCCATATAATTTGAAAACATTTTAAGTATTTTGTTGTGTATTATTTTATTTAGGCATATTGTTTGTGTAATTGAATGTCATACATAATCGGTAGGTACCTAGGGAAGCAGGAAGGGAGTTTCACGTCCCTTAAAACTCTAGGTAAAGGTGATTGTGAGCTACCTGGCATAGGTTCTAAGACCTGAACTTGTCTGAATTCTCTGCAAGAGCAGCAGGCACTCTTAACCTCTGAGCCTTCTCTCCAGCTTCTGAAAATACATTGAAATGGTACAGTGTTACAGTATTTAGACAGAAATTCATATCTCCTCTTTCTACTATTTTGTATTACTTCTGATTTTGATATTTCAAGTATTGTAGCAATAAATTTCTTTGGTCATGAGTTTCTGTTTGCATATCTAAGTTCTTATGAAAAGTTACTAAAAATGGAATTAAAGTGAGGAACAAACTTAAGCCTATAACTTCATGGAGAAGACAGCAGGAGCACTCACCTTTATCCTGAGACATTTGCCATGGTAGAGCAACATATAGAACTATTTTCACAGGAGTTCCTTATAGAAAATTAATCACCAGGGGGAACTGGATTTGAAAAAGAGTTTTGCTATTCCCATAAAACATGTGAGTTTTCTACTTCTTACCTGCATTGAATCTGCAGATATCATCTCAAGTAGAAATAATTTCCTTTTTCTGCCCCAGTAAGAGCATTTAAAGCAGAAAATAATACAGCTTAAGATGCCTTGTTGTGGATTTTGTTTCTTCACACAAATATCACAGGGAAGAGAGAAAAAAAAAACCTCCGCATTTCATAGTATATTCTTGTAGTGGTTGCTATAAATACTCTCATGGTGATGAGATATTTGCATAGTACTATTTCTTCCCATCTACATAATCTGAAGGCTGCTAAACTTGTCATAGATTGAAGGCATCTCTTTATGTATTTCTTCATATCTGTACATTCCTATAGCAAGTACTTGGTCTAATCCCAGACACTACAGCTGAAGAACAAAGAAGTTGTTTCCACAAGAGTTTACGAAGAAGTGTATGAGACTGTACCTAGGCTGGCATAAGAAACGGGGCTGGTGCAAAACTGCTGCCCTATGTGGTAGCCATGCTGTGCGTGTTTCCCACTGGGGTGTACCTCCTCTTTATTTTGCTCTTCCTACTTTGATCTCTGTTATACTTGCAGTGCCCAGATCCACCGTGCAAACAGGACTTGCTGGCTTATCTGGAACAGATTAAATTCTACTCCCACCAGCTGAAAATCTGCAGTCAAGTTAAAGCTGAGATCCAAAACCTGGGGGGCGAGCTCATCATGTCAGCCGTGAGTACTCTGCCTGTCACTTGCACCACTGCACACGGAAGATGCCACCACCATCTCTCAGATGAATTTAGCATAGGACAAGCTTGCTCACACTTAGTATAAATTGCTTGTACTGTAAATGTAGTTACAAGAAAGGAAAGGTTATCATTAGGGACAGAGAGAGGAAACTAATCATTATTGATTATCTGTCTCTGATATAAGTTTTAGCCCAGTCATTGCCATTACAATCACTTTCCAGGTTTCTTTTTAAAATGTTAAAATGTTTTTTTTTTTTTTTACTCCAGAGATTAAAAAATATATAGCTTTTGGATACTATCTGGATAGGAAATTTATGGGCATATAGAACAGTTTTTAGACCTTATAAAGAATACAGAGGGAACTTTAAATTGAGCTCTGGAAGATTTTAAGATAAATGTAAAATTATATATTCTTTCAATTATTTTATTGTTATAAATTTTTATTTTCTACATATTTATTTTTATAACACATAAATTCTGGTTCTGAGGTTAAAAAATTCTCATGTATAATTTTTGATATAGAATATTATAAATATTTTGCATTAGAGGAACTTGAATAAATTTTTCAGTGGCCTTGAGTTTCAAGATGCTTTTAAATTGCCATGGTAGAAATAATGTCTGGTGGTTTTTGCTCATCTTTTAATAACATTGACCATTTCTCTAGAGCAAGTACAGTAATAAAATAATATTTCATGTCTATTTTGGATTCAGTTATAAGTGACTTTGAGAAGGACATGGACCAAGATTATAAATTTAAGTTAAAGTATGATGAACATTTTAGGAAGCCATATTGCTAGAACCCTTTTAAAAACTGTACCAGTTTGCTTCTGCATTAGCAGAATCTCATCCTTCTATATCCCAACATGGACCTTTCTCTTAATGAATTGATGTTCTTGAAGGAAATTAAGTTACATAAAAAGGAAAGGTTATCATCAGGGGCAGAGAGAGGAAGATAGTCATTATTGATTATCTTTCGGTGGCCTGCGTTTTAGCCCAATCATTACAATCACATTCTAGGGGATATTTATTGAATTGCTTTGTTTTCTTTAATATCTGAAGCAATGCAATACAGAAAGGTTAAATAGCTTTTCTGGGGTCATGCAAGTAAATGTCAAAGTTGGGGTTTCCCGTCAGAGACCTCTGTGTTTTCTCTTTTGGTGTTCAGCATTGAATTTATGAAAAAAATTGAGACTTGCAAGGCAAGAGTGAATTATTCAGAAAAAAATGGTAGGATTTCTTTCTTGTTTCTTATGTTTGCAAAGGTCAAGGAAGAAAATAAAGATTTATGTCCTTGATATACAAATTTTAGAAAAGAACATAGATGGAAATCAAGGTTTATAATCTTTCACTTTTCAAAAAATTATATTTTATTAGGACACAAGCAATATAAGCCTTATTAGCATGTCTACATAGAAATATACACATATCCATGGGTATATATATACATATATATATATATTACAGACAGAATTATACAGTAACTAGTAATGATTATTTTTTTTTACTTAGGATGTAATTATATGATTGACCAGCTGTACATTGTAAATATCACAAGTAAGAAATGAATTTATTTCATATATACTACTCAACACTGTAGCTATTCTTCGTTAAACATTAACAGAGCATATATGCTTATTTACAAGGTACATAGACAGGATTTTTGGGGGGAAGGGAGACGAGAGGCAGGGTTTCTCTGTGTAGCTTTGTAGCCTATCCTGGAACTCATTTTGTGTACCAGGCTAGTCTGAAACTCAGAGAGATCCGCCTGCCTCTGCCTCTGAGTGCTGAGATTAAAGGCATGTGCCACCATCGCCCAGCTAACATAGACAAATTTTTATCACAGTATCTTTTATAGTGTGTCGATTATCTTGCATAAGATATTGAAGAACTGTATCATGATGCTGTGTCTAGATACTGGCTGTTGCTCAGCCTGTGACGACAAGGTTTACAGTAGTGCTGCTAGTCTCTTACTGAGCATTGCTATTTCAGGAAAATATCTGAATTCAACATTGAGAGTTTTCTTTCTAGTGACTTTGTCACTTGCCCATTATTTAAATTAAAAACATTGAAAAATTATGGGCCAAATTACAGTAAGTCAATAATCACCTCGGCATGAGCATATCGCATGCGTGGCTTATGCTATCTGAGCTGTATTTCTAAACTATTAAATAGCCAGTCTTCTTTCTGTCCTCACTCAGTATTTCACACAGTCATCATCTTTACAAGGTCCGTAGTCACACACATTTTATTTTCCAAATATATACAAGGGCTTTTGTCTTACAGAAAACAAAGCTCTCAAAAATATTTAAGGCATATCCACAGGTGCAGTCTTGACAGAGTTATTAAAATACAAGATTTCTATTATCATAAATCAGTGCCTCATTTAGCATCATCGGAGAAACCTCCTCATGCAGCCAATGGGAACAAACATAGAGACCTACAGCCAGATATTCTACACAGAGTGAGAGAACTTGGAACACTCAGCCCTAAGTGGGATGTCTTCATCAAATCTCTCCCCTCAGAGCTCAGGAATCCCAAAAGAAGAAGAGAAGAAAGGAGTGTAAGATCCATAGGGGTGGAGGACACCAAAAAAAAAAAAAAAAAAAAAAAAAAAAANAAAAAAAACAGGCTCTCTAAAAAATATTATGGATTTTAGTGTTCTTACAAAAATTTGCAGTGTGTCGATGAATGGGTCTCTGATTCATGTGCCTTCTTTGGGCTCTTTCCTTCTGTTGATTTGTCCTGGCCAATAGTGAGGTGACATATTTGTTCCATTGTATTATATTTTACTTTGTCATGTTAAAAAATAAATAACTGAGAACGTAGGCCCTAAGGTAAAGGTTAACAAACACCTGAACTGTCATTTCTGTCTGCTAGGAGAAGGAAAACCAGTTTTCTCTGATGGGGTAATGCCATGCATTAACAACCGCTGGGCAGCTCTCATGTTTAGGGGTCGCTGACCAGCACATAATGGACCCCACAGCTTTATGCACACTTTTATTTGGTTACAGTCTGGTATTTTGTTTTCTTGTTCTTTGGGGTGGTGTTTTATTTTTTTTTGTTGTTGTTGTTACTTCGTTTTTGTTTGCTTGTTTTGGGGGGTTTGTTGCATTGGTTTTTTTGTTTGTTTGCTTAGAAAAAAGTTAAAGTTAAGTTAGTATGGAGGGTAGAAAATTGGAAGGATTTGGGAAAAGGAAAGAATACAACCAAAATATATTTCAATTTTAAAACTGTTTCAAATAAAACTATGTATTTAAAAAAATGATTGCTAATTGTCCAGCCAAAATGTAATCTTGAGATATATGAATAGGTTTTGCCTTCACCATTGTTCAGTACGGTGATTCAAATTTGTGAATTTTACATATTGATCAGCGAGAACAGGCAGGAGTGATGCAAAACCAAGGACTGGCCATTTACAAGTGGGGCCATCATGTACCCATGTATCACTGTGACTCCAAAGCCACTTGTCATTAGAAAAACAAATCTGCCAGAGGAAAGCGTGTCCCCCTTTACATCTCCTGACATCTGCTTGCAGGTGGATTCTGGAAAGCTTTTAGTACATTTCATTTTTGTGTGCCAAACTCTCCTTGCTTGAGTAGACCAGTGACCCTACATTCTCCTTTTCTTACCTTCCTCCTATCTCCTTGCTTCTTCCTATCTGTCTTTTTTGTTGTCTTTCAATTGAAAGCTAACCAGTCATGGGGTACCTTACAAACTATCAAGCACACTTTTAAAGCACAGAAGTGTATTTTTAACTCTCACACGGGTTTTGTATTTAAGACTAGATCATTTACAAAATCAGGCGTATGTGACAGGACTCTTAGCAAACACGCTTGAGAAAGCAGTAAGTCTGGGTGGCTGTGACTCCGGCATGAATAAGCAGAATATATTCCGTGGGTGCTAAAGGTTAAAGGCAGAGAAGCTGAATAAGTGAAGTGAAATGTTTTGAAATACTTTCTCATAATAGAACATCAAATTAAAATCCATCACCTCTCATTTGTAAGTCTATACGATACACATTTATCCTGAAGTTGCATGTTCTCACTATAGGAGACCAAAGCACAGTTCATTAAAATCAGAAAACCTGCTGAGTGCCTCTCTCTGCCAAGTACACCAACCCACACATCTGGACCACAAGACAGTCACTATGCAGTGTTTCTTTGATGATGCTCATGCCCGTAGAAAAGTAACATGAATAATGTGCCTGCGAGTGTGTGGCGTGCATGTAGAGCAATGCAATAAACAGTGCACTTAGAGTGTGCAGGGGTGTGCATGGTTGAACAGACAAGGGAGTAATTAATTTCTCCAGTATGCAGAGTGGGAAAGTGAAAGGTACACAAGTTGCCTGGTCCAAATTTGGGCACAGACTGATCAGTAGCAAGCATTTTGTTTGTTTGTTTTGCTGGTTTTTTTTTTTTTTTTTTTTTTTTTTTGTAAGAGGACAGAAGAGGTTTCAGACCCATAAGACAAGAACACATAGCAAAGTAGCTAAAGAATGCTTGGTTGGAGGTGGTTTGACTGGACACAGCATTCATTGCTTATACTGTTGGTGCGTATACTGTGGAAGTAAGGGTAAACAGGACTTTAGAGATTATTGGCTTGAAGCTTGAGAGGCACATGAAGACATCTGTGCATTTGGTAGTTAACTGTTAGATGGTACTGATAGGTCAGAAAGCAGGGGACTGGGGAAAGCGACTGCTTGGAAGGGCTTGTTTAATAGAACTTAAAGAGGGAAGCAGTGAGCATGCCTGTAGGCATGAAATCTCAGTAAGCCCCGGAAGTGCAAAGTCATTACCTAATTGTGAGTTAAGGCTGGAACCAATTGTAGGTAAGAATGAGCAAGACTTACTTTAATGTTCTGGGAACTGGAAACTTAGCTAATGATGGCAAAACCCACTAAATACTACACATAGTGGGAAGATCAGGTCTAGAAGAGTAGGTGGATGTGTTCAATGTTATTCACTGAAGCTAGGTGACTATGGG